AAGCTATATTTTTCAAATGTTGCATCTCCCTTTGAAGTTTGACCAACTTCACCTATGGCTAAAAAGGGGATGCTCTATGATAAACTGAACAAGCTTCAACACAATCAGTGCCCACAAATTGCACAGGAGACATAGCTTTCCAAGCTACCCCCTGGTAAACCAAGAGTGTTAAACTGGCAAAGAACATTTGATATAATTCAAGCCAATTCGTCACGTCCAAAAGAACATATGAGTATGAAAAAAAAAGGTATTGTATACATCCTCCAAGAGAAAAAAAAAAAAAAAAGAAGCAATTAAATCCAGATAAACAATTATTACAAGCTGATGTGGACAAATCTCTTAAAATAATGCCGGTACAGTAATACATGTATTCTTTCACCAATTTAAAACCTTGTTGGAACACACCTAGATGATCCTTGGGGCAGAGGTGTGGCTGTCTTACTAGCTTGAATTTGCTGCCCATTTGAAATATTCTGCATTTGACCTTGACTTCCTTGCTGCTGAGAAGATTGTTCTATTTGCTGTGGCTGTTGATGAATATTACCAGACTCTGTACTTCTTCCTACTTGATGCATACCATTTGATCCTTGAGGGAACTGAGATCTATCTGTTTGCTGATTATTACGATTTTGAAAATATCTGTTATTTCCATAGTTATTCGAAGTCAGCTGCTGAATTTTCTGAAGAACTTCTTCCACAGGAGGTGGAGGTCCCGGCAGCTTTGCATGCCTGTATCTACAATCAGGGCCGTTTGGACAAAATCCCAACTTATACCTGTAAAAAATGGCCACCAATCAGAAAACAGATTCATAAAATGAGTTGACAGTTAAAACGGAAAAGATCAACAAGAAGACATGAATATGCAACCAACTTTTCCCCTTAAACCACAGGTAATTGCAAGATATCCAGAGACAATAAACACAAAAAAAAAAAAAAGTTTATCTGAAAGGCATTATACGCACAAATCAATGTTGAGCCATTTCTAGGATAATTTTTATCTACACATATTGAACCCTAATAACACTTTAGATAACTGATGCAAATATCTACACTCCCTGCAAATAAAACTGCAAAATTGCTATCTTGATAATCTCCTTCACGAAGCAAGACCAACAGCTTCCTATTATCTAAAAGCTCAACAGCAAAGAGCTAAAGATTTATCCATTCAACGACACTATCGCTCGTTCAAAACCTTTCAGTTTGCAGGAGAAAGTCGAATATATTAAAAAAAAAAGACAAAAATTAGCTAAAACAAAGGAAGGGTATCATACATACATATGGCATTCCTTTATATCTTCATTCGTGTGCTTGTAAACGCAGTCTTGCTCCCTACACTCTCCATACAGCCGAAAAAACCGGCAAACCGGCATCCGGGATTTGTCATACTGATGCAGGAATCCACAGGCCTCGCCTTTCATGCACAGAGATCGCAGCCAGTGGCGGCACACCGTCTGCCGGAAGCTCCTCCTGCCTCCGCCGCCGCCTCCGCCGCCCATTCCATCTGCGTGCTGCGCCGCCGCCACGGGCGCGGAGGTAGGGTTATTGGAATTGGGCGCGGCCGCAGCAGAGGCCGCGTTCGCATCCGCCGCCGATTGGATTACGGGCACGGACGCGGTCGGGTGCGCCGGGCCGGAGTCCAGCCCACCCTCGAAATCGAAGCTTAAACCCCCTTCTCCACCATCATCCATCTTCACAAAACAGCAAGCACGTACAACTCGCGATATGCAGCGTACAAGCCGGTGAAGCGAGGGCTATGGAGCTGCAGAGCTATGGCGTCTTAGAGGGATCAAAAGGGGCAAACCTAAGGGAAGAAGAAGAAGAGTGAAAGTGAGTAAAGGAGCTTTCTTGATGTGAATATATGTGATATTGCTATCGCCAGAAAAAGGTACAACTCGCGCTGCTGAGCGAGGGAGTACGTCCTATATTAGTTGTTGTACCTTACTATTGCCAGTCCAGGAGTACACGCATACAATCTACATGCAAAACTTGCTCAGGTCTCTAGTTATTTCTATCAAAAAGTCCAAAATAATTTTGTTGGATTTTTTTTCTTAATCGACTTATTTATTTTGTTTATAAGTTTTGAGGATAATATATAAATATATTTTTTGCTATGTACTAATGCTTTTTTATTCTTGTGTTTGTTCGGTTTTTTAGTTCTACACTTCTATAGTTCTATTCAACTGGAGATTTTACTGTCCCGTTACAAAACTATTTCGTCGGAATTTGTAACCGGTAGATCAACTATTCATGATAGTTACATTATAATTTAACGGTTACAAATCCCAACGGAATGATTGCGTAACAGAATTGTAGCATTTTTCCTATTCAACTGCCATAAAATCCCAACTTCATATCAACACTTAACGTACAAATGTGTCCTTGCTATTTGTTAGCCTAAAAAGAATTGCATTGTATAGGACGCGGAAGATTGCAAATGAGCCGAGTCATGTCAAACATCGACTTTATTGAGTCAAATTCAATTTTTTTCATTGTTGGCCGAGCTCAACTTGTAAAAGATAAACAAATGTTCTTGATCGACTCAAATTTCACTAACTCGAATTTTCAATAAATGTTTCCTTTTCAAATAAAATAAAAAAAATTGGCTTAAGTTTGGCTCAAATTTTTCTTAGGCACACGTCTAGGTGTACTTGTACTCAAATGAGTCGTCGGCCACTAAGCTTACAACATACAATCTTGAGTTCGAGGTGCTCGAGCTAGTTTCGTGCTCGATCAAACTTTGACTCGAGTGCTCACAAGCAGCTTGCGAACCGCTTGATTCGTTTTCAGCCCTGGGGCGTACGACACCATGAAGTCCAACCTAGTCGTTGCCACCATGTAGACCGAGCACGATTATGCAATACACGTCGAGAGCAACTAGTAAATCGCCATACCATTCGATGAAAAAAACGAAGCGCCGGTCCACAAGCAATGAAAAGAAATAGAGTCGAGATCTAAAGCAAATCGGACAAGGTACTGGGTTCCGCAAAAAAGGGCAATGGTTGCATTCATAACAATGCCGACTTTTGGGTCGACTTAGACTTTACGAAAGATGGAATCTCCAAATCTACAACTATCTCAATAAAAGGATCCTCAAGACCTCAAAGCAAGAAACTCAATAGATAGTCGACACCATCGGAGCTTTTGGAGTGAAAACAATGCTTCAAGCAAAGAGCCATCCAAAAACTAGCACAAGAAAAACAATCAAAGTGGAGCAGAGGCAGAGGCAAGAATCTGGCAATTTGATCTCCAGAGACCAATAATTCAGACGAACAATACCGCCAAATTTCCTAAAATAAACAGTTCGCCAACAATATAAATGATACGAAAAATATCCACCAGCCACCAGCAACGTATCAAGATCTCATAACCTCAGTAAACTAACACAATGCAATGAATTGAATAACTGATATATTAAAAAACTAGTTTATCGCCCAAAAAAAGATATATATGAACACAGTAACTGTGAGGTAAAAAAGAAAATTCCACAGAAAGATATAAATTCCAAAAAGATTAAAAAATACGAAAAAAAAAGTCTCACCATTACGTAAACAAAGTGACGACATCTCTACGGTACCCCCTCACTATCAACATTCTCGGCACATTCTCCACAAGCAGGTCCATATACTCCATGTAAAAATACGCCGGGTGGTTCAGTGGCGGCGGCGGAAGGCTCACGAGCACAACTGCCGCCATTCTCGAGTACTTCAAAATCGTCGAGTTAAGCTTAAGTGTCGTGTACAAAAACTTCTCCACTTGCTGCTCGTTTACAACCACTGGCTTCCCGTCAGCCATCATCAAGCCAGGTGTCCCATCATGCTCGGCCCTCTCCTTCATGGAGGCCAGGTAATTCGAAATCCTCTCGCGGGCCCCACTGAAAGCCTCAACCGACGACTCGTCCTGCTGCTCGGCTCTAGCATCCCACGACTTCATCGAGATCACAATCACCTCAGCCTGCATTCGGAGGTCGTACAGGAATTTCTTCACGTCAGCCTTGAGCTCCTCAGCATCTGAATCCTCTTCGGCAATGCAAAACACCTGAGGAAGGAGTAGAAAAATAAAAAATTGTGTTGGTTGGTGCCTTAAAACTAAAACAAAAACAATTTTCAAATACGCTTTGAGTATCGAACAGTTTAACATCAATCAAACCAATTCCCATAAAATAAATTCTAAAATATATCACAATTTGTTAAGAGGGTAAAACATTGGCTGCAATGCATGTACTATTTTTTAACTCTGCACCAACCTATATAGTACTTTTTCTTTGTAAAATACCATCTAAACGAACATTCATAATTTTGCAACCTCTCCTTCATCTTGACCATACAAAAATCAGAAAAGACGGACACGTGTATAATCAAGAGGTTGCAAAATCATGAATGTTTATGAAGTTCAAGATGCTGCATTTTCTACCCTTCGAAAACACGTATAGTATAGTTGCAAAAAAAATAAAAAATGTTTCACCCTTAGTTAAAATACCAAAAAACAGAAAGCCCTCGAAAATTTTAAACAACTAAAAATATAGTTTTTATGTATAAGTTTTTGCCAAACCTGAATCTTACAGCTATCGAAGCTCTCCTTCGTCAAGAGCAGCTGAGATAGCAAGAGCATGAGACCACCATCCCTCACGATCCAATACAGGTCAATCGTCCCGTACTGCCGCTGGTACTCGTTGGGCCACTCATCCAAGCCCTTGACTATAACAACCGCCTTATTGGCAACAATACAGTCGTTGATAATCCCAACAAAAGTGGCAGGAATCTCGGTTAGATTCTCCCGGCGCCAAATCTCCGGATAGCGCATTACGACAATATTGGGCTTCAAATTTCCCAGGCCCATCGTCTGAATAATGCCTCGAAAACCGTCAGACATGGTGGGGGCCACCACTATCTCTGCCACGCCTTCACACCGTTTGTACTCGATGTACGTGCTGAGTGCTCGACAGGCGGCCTTTGCATCCTCAGCCATCTCATGGTAGTCCCCATCGAGGATCGACACGAATATGGACATCCCGCGGCCTTTCTTCTTCATGAAGTTTGCAAAGTCGGCAAGTTTCGGGTGGCACGGGACATTCTCGGGAAGCTTGCCCCACGGCCGGCAGAACACGAGGGGGATTGGGTACCAGTTCTTGGGGTGCACCTGGCTTGCTGCATGCACGGGAGATAGCAAAACCTCGAGGGTGATTCGTGTAATTTCCAACGATTTTTTTTTCTTTTTTTTTTGGGTAGTTATTGTAATACGCAAAAGCTGATGATTTTTACACGGAAATAGTGGTAGCTATGTTTGGTAAAGGTTTAAATGCATTTTTAGTCCTGTTGGTTTAACGCTATAGCAATTTTAGTCCCAAGTTTTCAACTTCTCGCCTTTTGGTCCTATGGTTTAATATTTTGTTGCAATTTCAATTACATGAATGAAATCGCAACAAAATTTTAATTTTAATGACTTAAATTGCTAATAAAAAATCTATAAATTTGGAATTTGTTGCAATTTCAGTCCTCAAATTGCAGCAAAATATTGAATCACGGACCCAAAGGCGAAATGTTAGAATCTTGGGATAAAAAATGATATGGCGTTAAACAAACAGGATTAAAAATACAATTTAGTCGTTTCGTAAACTTAACTTATAAGCTAGCTTATAACTTTTAAGTGAATTTCGAGCTTATAGTAAAGCTAGCTTATATGATAAAAGTGTTTTGTAAAATTAGTTGAAATAAAAATTTCAAATGGTCTTATTTGAAAAGCTACCAAGGAAGTTTATGGGATAAGCTCGAGCCTTTCTAAAAATTTCGTCCTACCAAACCAAACATATTTGAATACAGAAAGCTTATAAGCTAATCAAATAAGCTGTAAGCTAAACTTATATGCTTACCAAACACAACCTAAGATTTGAGTTAATAGCCATGGATGAAAATGGAGATAATAAATAAGAAGCATACAAACCTCCTAAAGACCGTAGACTACGAAGAGCGAGTTGAAAGTACGCGCTCTTGAAACCATCTCCCCAGTCCCCGGCTTTCCCTTTGATACTGACATAGTAATATATGAGGGTTGCTAGGGCAAGAGCAACCACTGTGAATGTCCAAGAAATCAAAAACATGATGACTGCAAAACAGGAAAAAAAAATCGAGTTAATTGGACATCTGCAGAATAAAACTTATCGGTGGCAAACTACAAACCCTTATAATATCGAAAAAGGATAAAAAAGAAAAGAAAAGATTAAAAATTTTCAGTGACAAATATCTGCATTTCCAAAAAGTCTGGAACATAAATGATACTGCGGGATCCAATTACCTATGCAAATTAATGCTCCGACAAGGGAGATACTCCAGTGGTGAAATTTCCATCGAGGGCGCCAGCTGGGAGCATCCAAAAGATCCAAAAGGAAGCAGGACAAATTGACACCCCCATAACACAGAAGGTAAAACATTGTTACGGTAGGGGTAATAAGATCCAAATTGCCGATAACAACACATCCAATACAGAGGAAAGCCGTGAACAAAGTAGCAATGTGGGGCTCACTCCCATCGGCCACCTTAAAGTAGTTAAGAACAGGTAAAATATCGTCATTGGCTATTGCGGCCAAAAGACGAGGGGCACCAGTTAGGCTCTGAAGGGCTGCACCTAAAGTTGATAGAATGATACCGATATAAGTGACTGCAGGAACAGGCCAGGCAACAGTAGCTGTAAGTAACCTGTAAAGCAACTCAGAAAGTTTTGGTGAGGTAATTAAAGGGAAAAAGAAAAAGGAAATGCGAAAAATAAACAGCAAGGTAACTAGGGCCATGCTTGTTTATAAAAAAAATTAGAAAAAAACTGGTTTTTTTTCTGGTTTTTTGTGTTAACTAGAGTTTATTTGAAAAAAGTTACTATGGTTAGTTGTTAGTGGAATTTTAAGAATGTATTAGGATAATATTTAAAATAAAAAGATTTAAATTCATTTGATGTAAAAGTAGGAGATAAATGATTGGAAATGATTGGTAGTTAAAATTATGTGAGTGGATGAATAGTGAATTAAAGTTGGATGTGATGTGTAAGAATGATTGAATGATATTATTTAATTATATTGATAATATTGAGGATAGTGGGATTGAGTTAAAGTTGAATTAGATTTTAAATTGAGATAGATTTTTTTTCTAGTTTTTTTATAAACAAACAAAGTCCTAGGTATAGACCTGATGTTGTAATTGGTTGCACAAAAAATGAAGGTAACAAGCAGTTGTTAAGTGGAATTCACATAATTATATACCTGTCTGTCAGAAGTTTCTCCCTGGTGGCAAGAGCTCCGAAAAAAAGCACGGTAACTAGATATAGACCTGAAGTAGTTAAAGTTGCAGCTAAAGTCCCAACAGGAATTGAACGCTGAGTGTCCTTAAGTGAGGCAGACCGGTTTGAACCTGCCATAATCCCCGTTACAGCAGGGAAAAAGAGCCCAACCAATGCACTGACAATAATAAGATAAAGAGATAACAGTTAGATATGCATGTTCAATGATATTCGGCATTACTAGCGGGAGCTCAATTTTAGACTATCACATCACTTAGTAATTTTTCTGTCCTCAATTAATTATAACAGAAACAAGAAACCAATTTTATGGGGCTTAGACTTTACGTTATAACAAAAAATGTAGGGTAGGGAAACAAAAATAAAATCAAATCAAATGAGATGAGATGAACGAGCCGGATGACTCACTTGAAACTCCAGTATATTTTCCCATTAGGGTCTGGTATTCCAGCATTGTTCGTCATTTGATAATCTGAACTCCAATTATCCTTAAAAGATTCCATACTCAACCCAGTGATACCATCTGTACCATTTGTTGGAACAAATATAAGTCTATCAGTTGTCAGTCAATAAGCTTTAGAGATTAATGCTAAAATAAAACAATCGTCGACTTGTAGAATCTAAAAACTTGCAGGTTTATTTGGTCCTACAACTTCATCAGATGGAATTTCTAATATCCCTTTGATACATATTTTTTCCATGTTCAGCAATATCTCTTTCATGAATATAGACAACAGCTTCACAGCTCAACATCACAAACAGAAACAAGAACAATAACCAGAGGCAGTAATAAGCTGAGATTATTAGCAAAAGTATAGGGCACACCTGCAGGATAATTATCTCTAGCTAAAAATATCCCCACAAATATGCAAAACAAAGAGAACAGCACAGGTAAGAGAAAGGCTGGTGCAACTCTGTTGATCATTTTTACTCCACCAAATACTATGAAGCATAGAATGATTGTCACAATAATCCCATAAACTTGCAGGTCATGTAAGCTTGGGCTGGTAATAGGTTGTGCAATGTCTGTGCCGTTTACTCTCACAAAAGTTGTCGAATCTACAATAACAAGATTAATTTCAGCTTACATTCACAATGCAGAAATGTTTGATTTACACAAAACATATGACTATTGCTCACTGACAATTCAAATTATAAGGATACTAATCAGGGACTTAGTCTAAGCAGAAAGTTTTATCATTCATTTATTGTCCATTGCAAATGGAGCTGGAAGAGTCATTGTTGACAATTCTCCTGGCATAGTGCTAAGGACTAGATCAAATGGCTCAATTAAATTCTAGTGCTTCTTCTATTAGTGAAGTTTCTAGAAAAAAAAAATATATCAAACGACGCAATGCACCTTGGGTCGCTACGGAAACAGCCTCCTTGTATAATTACAAGGGTAAGGTCTGCGTACAACTGACCCCCCAGACCCCAACCAGTTGGGAATATACTGGGTATGTTGTTGTTGTTGTTGTATTCATTTATTATGC